GGCACGGGCCCTGGGCCCCCGGGCCCCAGGAAGGAAGCTGCTCCCGTCCCCGCCTGCCTCTGCCCGAGGCCAGGCCCACCGATGGTCTCAAGCCAGCCTCACCTGAGCATGTTCCCCTCCCCTGAGTGAGCTGGCCGGGCGTGCCAGCTGCCGCCTTTCCCAGCAAGGTGTGCACCATTCCTGCAGCGCCCTCCAGCTCCTGCCCAACTACCGAGCCAGACACCCGTGCCCTCCAACCCAGAAGGAGGGGTGTGCTTCCACCTCACTGGTGGGGAAACTGAGGCCCAGAGAGGGTGATCGACTTGCCCAAGGTCACACAGTTGGAAAGTGGTGGGGCAGGAGCTGACCGTCTGTTGCCCAGGAGTCTCAGGACTCTCTCCCCAGCAGCCCCAGGCTGTCCCTGGCGCCTGAACTGTTTCGCCTCCCTCTCCAGAGCTGAGCCCCTCTCTCTGCCGGCACAGGAAGTGAGAAGCCTGTGACTCAGCCGCCCCTCTCCCTTGGCCTAGCGGTGGGTTTCCGCCCCACCGTGGGCCGGGCTCTGTGGGCTTGTTCCTGAGTCTGTGTCATTTTGAGCTGATGGGGGAGGGGGAGCTGGCCTGGGCGGGGGCTGGGGGCTGGCCTGGAAGCTGCCCCCTCCCCCCATGGCCAGCCAAGGCTTCTCGTCAGTCACGTGGTCCCAGCCGTGGCTCCTCAGGAATGCAGGGAGACCACATCTGGCTGGGACCGGCGCTGCCGCCTGCCCCTCCTGGCCACCCCCCTCCCACGTGTGCGCCTGTTCCGCTGAGATGGTGGCCCGGGCCCCAGAGCTGCAGCTGCTGTGCCTACTGTCCCAGGTCCCTGCCTCCCCTCCCCGGCCCTGGAGGGCTCTGAGCAGTGGGAGGGGATTTCTCCGCCGGCCTGGGCCTGCTTCCTGCCCTGGCCGTCCCTCGGCCATCCCTGGCTGTGTCTCCTGGGAGAGGCTCTGGAGCTGGTGGTGGCGCGGCTGGACTCGGGGCTCCTGGGTGCCCCCGGCCGGGAGGATGCTCCAGAGGGGAGGGGGTGAGCAGGGGGCGAGGGAGTCGCCACTCAATGCCCAGCGCCTCACCAAGGCCCGGGTGTCGCAGGTGCAGGGAGACAGCAGAGCAAGGAGTGGCCACTGTCACCAGTCCCCTGCCCCGTGGTGTGGCCGACCCCAGCTGTAGACGGCTCTGCCGCCCTCCCCAGCACCAGCAGGGGCCTCGCCCACCCCATCAGCCGGGCCAGGATGCCCTGGACGTCTAGGGGCGTGGAGGTGAAGGTGAAGGTGCAGTGGCCTCACTGCAGGCCCGCCGCTGTCCCTGGCATCATGGGCTGGCTCCTTTGGCGAGAGCCGTGAGCCATGGGACACAGTGACCAGGCTTCCTGGGAAGACAGCGGCCCCCACCCCTCAACCCTGGAGTCCAGCTGAGTGGCTCCAGGCTTGGGGAGGGGAGGACATTCCAGACAAGCCTGGAGAGGGATGGGGTTTTAGGGGGCAGAGGAGGGGAGGACAAGAGGAAGGACAGCCCGGCTTGAGTCTCTTTCCCTGCCTGTGACATGGGGACAGTCCTTTGGGGGATTAAGTGGTATTTTACTATGGACGTGGGGTTGGCTTGCCTGAGGTCACCCCCAGGGTAGTCAGGGAATGTCCCCTCCCCCTTCCCTCCTCAGCACTGGAGGAGAGAAGTGGGGGGCCCACGAGCCGGGAAGGGGGCCTGCGGAGGGGCATTCTTGAAGACGCTCAACTTCCTGCCCTGAAGGTGTCTCTAAGGTGACCCCACCAGGGTCCCCTTCAGCTCACCATCACAGAAGTTCCCAGCAGCCCTTCCCGCCTTGGATGGCCCAGAGGTTGGATTGGGCCCGACCTGGGTTCAAATCCAGGCGCCACCGTTTGTTAACTCGCAGCCGTGACTCTGGCCAGTCCTTGGCTCAGCCACGGACTGGGGTTGGGAGTCGGGGGCGAGGGCTTTAGAAACCACGTCCGCCCCCTTGGCCCGCGGCAGATGCACCCTCCTGCTGGTGCCCCAGCCTGTGCCCTCCCTCGGCCCTGGCCTTGTGCTCTTCCCTCTGCCTGAGCCCCCTCTGCCGAAGCCTCGCTCTAGACAGACCCAGGGCAGGGGACAGACCCGGGCTGTGGGACATCTGGGGAGCAGGTGTTGAAATCTCAGCCAGTTTGGGGTGAAGCCGGCGCTCCCCCTCTCTGGGCGGAGTCGCAGTCTACGCAGGTGTCTGGGGCGCTGTCACAAGCCCATCACGCCTGGCCCTTCACCCCAGTCCGCGAGTCACAGAAGGGCAGACACTTCTGCACTGTCAACATCACGGCCCGCTGAGCCAGGCCTTCCTGCGAAACTCCTGGGAGGGACGTGGCGAGGGCAGTGGGCTCGGGCCTGGGCGGCCAGCTGCCCTCCGCAGCGGAGCCTGTCTCTGGTGTTCTGGGAGCAGTGAGCCAGCTGCCTGAGCCGCCCGGCTTTGCCAAGAAGAGGCCCTGACACCTCCCGAGCGGGCACACCATTGGGGCGGCTTGGGACATACCATGGAGCGGGGGTGCAGGGTCAGGCTGGGAGGGCTGAGGTGGAGGCACCAGTGGAGGGTCTTCAGAGTCCGGCCACTGCAGTGCCAAGCGCCGGCCAGTATCACTGGGGAGCGTCTGCCCCGCCCAGAATCAGCGTCTCAGGGTTTGCTCGGTGACAAGATCACCAGGTGATTCCTGGGCACATTATTTGAAACTGCTTCAGAGCAGGAGCTGGCTTGGATCCCAGCCGTATACGAGCTGTGTGACCTTAGACAATTACTTTGCCTCTCTGAATCTCAGCTCCCTCATCTGCAAAATGGATTTGGATAAAAGTTCTCTACCAGAGAGGGTTAATAACTCACAGCCAAGAGATGATGTGTGTGAAGGGCGCTGAGCCACCAATGTGGGACCCAGACCGAGTCTGCCAGCAAACGGCTGCTGCTGCCGCCGCCATCGGGAATCCACAGGCGTAGGGCGCCCTGGGTTGATTCAGGGCAATCACTTTCCCTCTCTGGGCCTCGTTTTCCCCAGCTGTACAATGGGCCTCTCGGCCCCTGCCCTGCCTTCCACACCTGGGGTTGCTCAAAGGCAAGGCGGGGGTCTCCTTCCCCCAGGCCCACCTGGGGCAGAGGGGTGTCATTCTTCGCCCCTCGTTGCCCGGGGCTGTGAGGACACTGGTGAGGCTGAGGCTCAGACGCTCTGGCACGGGCCTGCTCGGCAGCATTGGCTCTCAGTCCCCTTGCCCCGGAGCACAGCGGCCAGGAGAGATGATTCAGCTGGGGCCCAGTGTTCTGAGGGGAGCCTCAGATGCCGTGCTGCAGGGTCGGCGAGGGTGACCTGGGAACTTCCCCCACTTGGCATCCCGTCCCCACAGGGGGCCTGTCCTCGGGAGAGGTGGCCTTGGGCAAATCACGTGCACGCTCACGACCTCAGTTTCCCTCTCTGCACGACAAGGGGCATCCAGGGAGTGGCCCCCTCCAGGTTAGGCCCTGAGCCTCCTGAGTGTCCCCTGTGTCCTCCAGGGCTGGCGGAGCCCCAGCCCCAGCCCTGCTGTCTTCGGGTCCAGGCCCTGGAGCCCATGGCAGGTGTAGGCCGGGCAGCTACGGTGGGCTGGTGAGGACCAAAGTGAGCAGAGTGCTGTCCTCGGGAGCCGGGAGCGAGGGGAGGAATTTCCGTCTGTGTGCAAACAGCATCCGTTTTCTCCTGTGTCCAAAAGCCGGTGACGTAACCGCTCTCCCTCCGTCCATCCCTCTCTGGGGCCTATTTTTAGCTGGCCCGACAGCATCCTAAAGGCTCTAGACTCCTGCTCTGTGGCCTTGTAGGGAGGGCTGCAGAGGAGCAAGACAGAAGCTCATCTGTCTGGCCCGGGGGTGGGGGGGGAAGGGAAGGGAACTGGCCCTGGCTCCTCCAGGGGGGGAGGAGGGGCCAGAGACCCTGGTCTCAGGCTTGGAGGCTCCTGGCCTCTGGGGAGCCCCCCCCCCCCGGGAGATGCTGAGCAGTCAGCACGGAACCCCCTCCCTCGCTCTACCTCGGGCACGTGGCCACGAGCCTTGCCTTCTCCACCTGTCGTGGGGGAAACCCACCCGTGCCACGGGGCTGGATTGCTTTGTGCAAAAGGTGCCCGGCTACAGAGGAGTCTCCAAAAAGGGAGCTGGCATTGTTGATGTTGCTATTTTTACAGTCAGCATGAGGCCCCAGGGACTCCCTCCTCCCCGTCTGCTGTTAATCTGGGGTGCCTTAAACCCTCATGCGTCTGCGCCCCTCTATCTTTTCCTGTTCTTTCAACCAATTGTGTACATGAATGAAATGATTTTCAGGTGTACTTAGAGTCGAGTCTGGCCTATAATAAATGTTAGGTAAATGAGAGCTGTATTTGTTAGGTTTTGCTTTAATGTAATAAAACAATCTGGGTTTGAATTCTGACTGCACCCACTGACTAGCTGTGTGTCTTTGAGCAAGACATTCAACCTTTCTGAGCTTAGTTTTCACATCTGCAAATGGAATAACAATACCTATGTAGGTTTCTGTGTTGGTCAGCGTGGGCTACGAAACACATAGGCTCCAAGACTGCCATGTGCAGCGTAGCGACTTTGTTTCTTGTGGGTGCAGAGAAGTGGGGAGGGCGGAGCTGGCGGCTGCCTGGCGCTGAGGCCAGCTTTGCTGCTGTGTCTTGCTGCAGCAGCTGGAGCCCCAGCATCTGTACAACACTTTACAGTTTGCATGAAGGGGTGGTGACCCTCTGGGCCGCCCGCCCCCCAGCGCCAGCCTCATGTCTTGAAGTGATCCCTGTCACCAGCTGCTACTATGGTTAGCGCCAGCCTAGCTGTCTCCCTGCACCCTCACCCTTGGCTAGGCGCTCCGGGAGGGCAGGAGGGGATGGGGTCACCGTGCTGCTCCCCGGCCCAGCCTAGGGACAGCCTGGGGTGGGTGCTGGAGCTACCTGGATACAAGGAGGTCCCCCTCTGATCCCCTGTTCTCTTGGCTTTTGCAGATGGGAGGAGGAGCTGGCCAAACGCATGAACCTTCAGACCATGGTGGACACCCTGCAGGAGGTGAGAGCCCTCGGAGGTCCCCACGGGGTGGGGGGGGTCAGGCGGACAGTCAGTTGGCCCAGGCTTCATAGGACAAAGCTGGAAAATGACTCCGAGCACAAGCCCTGCTCTGTGGTCACTTCTGCTGCCCCCACCTCTTCCCTGTGGAGGAAAGGTCCCGTCCACCTCCTCTGCTGGAGAGCTAGGAAGGGCCCAGCACAGGTGACAGGTAAACTCAGCCAAGGAGCAGGAGAGCCTGGTTCCCTCTGTCTCCCCACCTGCGTTGGGCTAGGTGGGCTCCAAGTTCCCCTGTCCCTCAGCTTGTGGTTCCCCTGAGCTGGGACTGGGAGAGCCCGTGGTCACGTCCAGGTGGGTCTCTGGCCCCAGCAGGTGCCACAGAAAATGCTCCTTACCCGCCCACGGAGCACCCTGACCTCCCATTTCACCCCTCGGCCTCTGTTTTCCTCTCAGCCAAATGGGAACAAGAGCAGAAAAGTTCTTTCAAGACATTGTAAACATTGGGCCAGGGACAGAGCACAGGGGTAGAGCACTTGCCTAGTAAGCCCCTGGGTTCCGTCCCCAGTGCCACAAGTAAATAAGTCAGTAAGTGAAGAAATAGATGAATAAATAAAATTGCTGTCTGATGTTTCAAGCACTTACTGTCGGGCTGGGGACACAGCCCAGTGGGTAGGGTGCCTGCACCAGGCCCTGCGTTCAATCCCCAGCACCACACACAAAAAAGCACTCACTGTCTAAGAAAGAGACGGATTGAAGTAACTATCACCGCGAGGAAGGAGAAGGGTAAACATCCCTCTTTCTTTTATAACAAAGTATTCTTTCTTTACAAATCCAACATGTTCACAGTCGGACATTTGGAAAATCAGAAAAGCACAAAGAACAGAGTCAGGGTCACCTGCAGTTCTCCCCTCCGCAGCTTGTCCCCGGCCTGCCACCTGTCACATGGGCATGTGTGACGTGGCCATTTTTAAGACCAGAGGCGGTCAGTCCCTGGCAGTGCGCCGTGGGTCAGCCTGGCATTTCAACGCGCGGGGCCCTCGTTACCCTGACCGCTCCTGTCTCCCCCGCCGTGATGATGTTTGGGAAGTGCTTGGAGGGGTCAGCAGGGCCCGGCGGGACGCGGTCCTCGGCGCCCCCTCCCTGGCGTGCAGGCACCAGGTGTCCAGTTCCTCGTGCCCCTTGCTCCCCCTAAAGCCTGCCCATCTCCGTCCGCAGGCGGCGCAGGAGGCCGAGGCCATCCAGGAGGAGATGAACGAGAAGATCGAGAGGCTCAAGGCCGAGCTGGTGGTGTTCAAGGGGCTCATGAGTGACGTAAGTGCCACCGCCGCTCTCAGTGTCACCACCTCTCCCCACACCCATCATGCAAAACGCTTCCTTCACTCCGAGGCTCCGAGCTCGGCTTCTAGTTAGAGTCCTGGCTGGCTGCGTTTGTCCTGAGGGTGACCTGAGGGTGACGGATGCATCATGGAGACCAGGCGCCCTCCTCCCGCCCCCCACGTCCGCTTCCCGGTCTGAGTAGAGATGCATTAATCTGCTGCTTAACCCATCCGCCCCCGGGCTCTCGACGCGTGCGTGTGGCCCCACTCCTTCCCGCTCGGGGCCTGGGTGTCTGGGCACGGGCGACAGTGTGGACTGGGCTGAGCTGGGTGGCTGTGTCGAGTCAGGAAGGGCCAGTGTGTGTCCTGGGCAGTCTGGGACCCTCTGAGCACAGGGAAGCAGAGCCTCCTTGGAGCAGTGGCAGATGTAGGGGGAGCCTGCTGGAAAGCAGTGCTGTGTGCCGGTGCCTCGGCCCGGCGTGGCTCCTGGTGCCCAGGGCCCTGCGGCTACGTACGTGTGGCTGGGCGAAGTCATGGGGGCTCAGGTGGTGGCCACCTGGCTTCCCCTCATTGGGTCCAGGGGGACCCCACTGTCCTAGGCAGGTCCCCACTGCCGGCTGTGGGAGGAATCCAGGAGAGCGAGTGGCCTTGGTGGCACCTGTGTGGCGGGTGGGTGTGTCAGTGGGAGAAGGAGGGCGTCTCTCAAGGTGGGGTGTCTGTCTCTTTCCTTTGCTTTAACAAACACGGACTCTGCACCCTTCCCAGAGGGCGCCTTGCAGCCCTGGGGAGACCAGCACACACGGCCGCGCCTCTCACTCCCGAGGTCCCCACACAATCCCCACCCCAGCAGCGCTGACCCCACCCTCTACCCGAAGGACAGGCTCAAGGCCCCCGGACTCCAGGGGCCTCCCCCGACACCTGGGGCTCTCCCCACCTCTCCAGCCGGCCCCCATGCTTCCTCTGTCCCTCGCTCACGTAACCCCTGATGTCCTCCCTGCAGCCCATGACAGACCTGGACACAAAGATCCAAGAAAAGGCCATGAAGGTGGACATGGACATCTGCCGCCGAATCGATATCACGGCCAAGCTGTGCGATGTCGCGCAGCAGCGGAACTCGGAAGACGTGTCCAAGATCTTCCAGGTGACTAGGGCCGCCCCGCACACCAGCTGCCCCCCACCTCCCAGAGCAGCCCTGGCCTCCACCACTGCCCGGCAGACCCTCCCTGCCTCCCTCCTTCCACCTCTGCTCACGTCCCCTCCTGAGAGGTAGCGTCGACCCGGCCCGACGGCCTCCCCAGGACAATGTAGACCCAGGACCACGGACGTGTAGGCCCCCGACTGCCCTGACGGATTGCGCCACGGCCCAGGGGAGTGCGGCCCGGGGTTCCGCACCAAGGAAGCAAGTGGCAGAGCTGCGCCAGGACTCGGCTCCTGACCCACACTGTGTCCACTGCTTCCCTTCCCACCTTCTCTTCTGGGTGCTGGGCCTGGGCATGGTCCCCATGGTGGTGTCCCTTATAGGGAGACCTGGGGGAACAGCCTGAGCCCGGCAGGTGGGCCTCAGGATGCAGAAGAGAAGCTGTGGCCCGTGGCAGGTTTTCATTCCCCTGAAGAGTCTCGGCACCCCCCAGACCTAACTGAAAGTGTGGGCAGCCCTGAGAGATGGCGGTCAGTTAGCGCTGGTGGGGCTGTCCCCTGGAGAGGGCTCGGGGGCTGCCGCAGCTGACGAGGACAGGGGTCACTCTCTGGAGGCTGCTTCCTGAGTGTCGGGTTGTGATCTGGCTTCTGCTTGAGCCCAGGGCCCTCTGGTGTGCTGATGCTTTACGTGTGTGACTCTGGACATGGCTGGGTGAGGTCCGGGGCCTCACTGGGCCCCTTTTGTGACCTCCGTGCCTTCTTGCTGGCCCTGTGCTGGGGAGCAGGAGGTCCTTGTGCCCCTCATTTGCTTTTGTCTTGTCTGCTTGGAGTGGAAGCTGGGTGGATCTCTGGTCGCCTGTCCGTCTGCTGCCTGTGCATGTGAGGAGAGCACTGGGGGCACACAGCTGTTTAGGCCTCTGTCTGGGGGTCTCTGTGGATGGCTCTGAGACACCCAGGCAACCATGCACCCTGGCCTGGCCCCTCTGCCTCCAGTCATGGAGCTGCCTGTCTGGTGGAGGGCCAGCTGAGGTGGCCCAACCACCAGGCCTCCCAGGGAGGGCAGGGTCCGGGCCACCTGTATTCTTCACCCTGCATGTCACCCCTCACGCTTCCTGCTAACGCCGCCCGCTTCTTAGAGGACCTGCGCACCTTCCCTGCAGTGGCTGGCTCCGGCCACGCTCCATCACCCCCCGAGATGCCGGTTTCCTTTTCCGCCCACCTCCACTCTCCTTCCCAGCCCCCCAGTTATCATGATCTCTTCGTTTCCGGTCCAGGTGGTCCCCAAGAAGAAAGAGCGTAAGGTGACTTCGGACGATGACATCTCTGAACAGGATGGAGAGGTGAACCGGTTCTCGGACGACGAGGTTGGCTCCATGAACATCACGGACGAGATGAAGCGCATGTTTAACCAACTGTGAGTGTCCCCGTGCCCAGGTGGCTGGCGGGATGGGCTGGGCCCTGGGGTGAGAGTGCCCACAGGGGTGTTTGGTGTGCGTAGGGCAGTGTTCTGGAGGAATTTGGGTTCATGTTCAACAGGGATAGTCTCGAAGTTTTGTGGTTTCAGCCTCTGTTGGGAGCTGGAGAGGGTGAGTGTCCCAGGGCTCAGGGCACAGTTGACAGGGCCTGAGAGCGCTGCTGAGTTTGGACATGGTGAGGCGTGTGTGCTATTTACCTCCATCCCGCTCCGTCCTCTGTTTTAGAATCCTCACCCCCAGAAGGGAGGTCAGAGGAGGGATTGCTTTGGCTGGGGAGAGGGGTGCTCTTGCCTGTGGGATGAGGGACTGGGCTGTCCCCTCCCTGCTCATGCGTAGAAGGGTCTGTGCCTGTGGATGTCATGAATCTAGAAGGTGCAGAGGTACAGTGGTCTTCTTGTGGGCTGTTCCTGATCAGGCCCAGGCACCCCTCACGTCCCTCTGCGTTGGTGGGCTGGCTGGGCCACCCTCTCAGGGCCTTGGAAGGGCCACGACATTCTCCCAATGTCCTCCACGCTGAGGCGCTTCTCGGCCAAGGTGCTCAGCGGGTGCCCGGGATTCAGACCTGGGCTGCGTCGGGAGAGCGTGCTCTTGCCTCGAGGTGCTGCCCAATCATGGCAGAATCAGCCAGGCATGGTCAGTGGTGGCCAGAGCCAGCCTGTGCCATCTCTGGGAAGCTGACTGAACACATGTGCTACCTGTGGGCAGGCACAGTGATGTCACATTAGTCACTTAAAAATTGCCATTGCGGGAAATTGGCAGATGCTCACCATCGGGGCTCCCCGCCCCGCCCCACAGAGAGCTGGTGTGCCAAAACTCCCCGGGTGTGGCCGACCTGCGGCCAGCGTGGCCCTGTGGCCTTGGCTTGTCCGTGCTGTGTTCTTGACCCAGATGCATCTTGAATCCACGTCGTATCCTGAAGTGGGATGGGGAGGGGCAGCAGGTCAGCCGCGGGCACTGGGTGAGAGGCAGGGCAGGCTTGGGCCTTGATCTGTGGGTCTGCCTTTCCCTCTGGCCCACTGGCCTGCTCTCCCCCTGGAGTCCCTTGTAGTTGGGACCCTGAGAAGGCAGCTTTTCCCTGGGCCTCCCAGCTGCAAGCCTGGCTTGGCATCACCTTGTCCCCGGAGCGTGCCACCAGCCCCTTTATCATACGGAGGAGGAAATGGGCTCAGAGAGGGCATGCGGGCGCGAGGACCAGGAAGAGCCAGGCCCCAGCTCTGGGTCCAGGGCTTTGTCCCTCTTCCGTGTCTGCATCACTGTCCCTCTCTGTCCCTTTTCACTAAGCCAGGCTGACTGTGTGGATGAGGTGACAGGGGCAAGAGCCAGAACTGGGGGGTGCTGGGAGCCCCCTGCCTGTTTCTCCCCTGGGCCTGTGGGGCTGCATTTTGGAGGTTTGCTATTTGAGGGTGGCGAGGAGACCCCCAGACTCCGATTCACCTTACGACACGATCTCACGCGCTCATCTTCTGCTGACAGAGGCCTTTTGAAAAGAACCATCGGTGGGGTCCGGGTTTTCTGAATGTCACTGTGACATTGGCGAGCCTAGGACAGTGGAATGCCACAGAGACCCCAGGTCGGTTCCATGTGGTTGAGCGAAAGGGCTTCTCTGAAGACATCATTGTCCTCATTTTCGTGTTAAGCTGACCAGGTTGGGTGAACTGGACAGGGCACACACCGGACATGGCTCCTGTGTGTAAAAAGCGTGCTCAGGTCCAAGCCAGGCCAGACCCGTGCAGCAGCGTCCACGGGTCTGCATGAGGCTCAGGATCTCATTACATTTCTCTGGTTGCAAAGTGGCCTTAGTTCAAAAATAAATAGATAAATCCTGTGATCATTTTGCTTGATCCCCGTGTCCTGCATTTCCAGGAGAGGTGGCAGGGACCCAATGGACAGGCCCTGGCTTTCCCTCTAACTTATCCGCTAGCCGTGGACCCACGCCAGAGGCCGCTCCGGGCCAGTTCTAGCCAAGTCTTTGAACAGACGCGCCCATGTCAGTGCTGTTTTGTTTTGATCCGAATCAGTTGCTTGGGCTTCGGACCAAGGAAAAAGGGAGGAATTTGCTGCCTCTCTGCCTGGGGCCAGCCCTCCTCCTCTGGCCGCCACCGCGGGATGGGGAGGCTCTTGCTCTTGTCTATCTTCCTGTCCTTCCTGGCCCGCCATCCTCAGCCACCGGGTTTCCTTCAGATCCCAGGCACTGGGAAGGAAGTGAAGTCAGGGGTGGAGTATGTGAACTGTGACGGGGGTGACCCAGTGGCTCCTGGTGGCGCCTCCCTCTCCATCCCAGCCCTAGATCTTGTCCTTGGACTCATGGGGCCACCTACAGGCTCCTGCAGGAACAGCTGTTGGGTAGGGAACCTGCCCAGCCTGACTCTAGGGGGCGCTGGAGGCAACTGCCCAGAGGTCCCCAACCCATTCCATTGTAGGATGGTAGGGAACCGTGCCCCAGAGGATCCAGGAAGGGACTGATGGGGGCAGTGCAGGCCTGGGTGCAACCCAGGGCTGGAATTCTGAGAACAGGATCCCACCCTCTGTGCCACTGATGTGTTGGAGTCCTAGACTCAGCCCTCCCTTGGGACAGTGGGTGTGTTGGATGGAATGATCATTAATGTCCCCTCCAGTTGGGTTACCAGGGCCTCTTTAGGGACCCGTTATTCCTGGGCAAATGCTTGGTCAACTTCCAGTTGTAGCCAGTTGGGAGGCTCTAAAACCTTCAGGTTTTTTATTCAAGTCCAGTTTCAGCATGTAGGAGTCCTGTGTGCCTTCTGTCCTATCCCTGATATCCTGATGTCCATCATGTGTGTCACCTCGTATCCCTGGGTCTCATTTTCTCACCTGTAAAATTGGAATAATAATCATGCTTACCTCATAGGGTTGTTTTGGGGTAGAATTGATTGCATTTCAATACAAGTGTTTGTTCATATTTATATTTCATAATAAAAACATGTTGTAATAAAAATATTTTTTAAATGCATGCTCAGTGGCTAGTCCAGGCTCTGTCAAAAAAAAAAAAAAAGATTGGACTTGAGAGGAAGATATCTCTAGTCTCCATTAAGTAAAGCCTGGTATCTTAAAAAAAGTCCTTGTGTGTGTTTGTGTGTGTGTGTGTAATATAAATCATACAAATAAAGCATAAATACATTCTGCATTTCACAAGAGTTAAACTCTTTTTGGATATGACAAGTGACCTCGGTGTCTGGCACTCCCATCTTTGTTAAGAAGCCTGGCAGGCCGTACCATGGGGGAAGGCACCCCTCTCTGTCCCCAGTATGGGCTGCTGGAACCTGGCTTGGGTTCACTTGTGCCCTCTGATGTCACCCCCATAGGCGGGAGACCTTTGACTTCGATGACGACTGTGACAGCCTGACGTGGGAGGAGAACGAGGACACGCTGCTGCTCTGGGAAGATTTCACCAACTGCAACCCCAGCATCGACCTCCAGGGCGAGGTGGGCCCGGGGCCTGGCATCCTGAAGGCTGGGGGCTGGGGCAGCGCCTTCCCACCACCCCTCAACCCTCTTCTTCCCGTGCAGCCCCCACCACCCAGCTCAATTGTCCCTTCTGTCCTGTTTCCCCAGCAAGAGGAGAATTTGGGCAACTTGATCCACGAGACCGAATCCTTCTTCAAGACGAGAGACAAGGAGTACCAGGAGACCATAGGCCAGATTGAGGTGAGGGCTCGGGCGGCCACAGAGTCCTCAAGGGAGGCTCCCCCAGGTCCACATGGCTGCTGCTCCTGGTGATGAAGTGTCACATGGGTGCGGGCTGGAAAGTGGGGTGAACACAGGCTCAGGAGTCAGGAGGCCTTGGATTCCCTGCCTCGTATTGGAGTCCCGTCTTTCTTAGGCTTTTGGTTCCTGGGCTATAAGAGGGGGGTAGTGACCCCTGCCTGCCCTGAGAGTCTTTGGTTTTTTTAATTATTCATTTGAGATGAGGATCCCAGAGTAACCAGAGCTGGCATTTGAGTGATCTGGAGCAACGGTAGGCACAGGGTGAGCCCTTCACAGGCACATGCTCCTAGTGTCCTTACGTCCTTTCGGACCGCAGGAATTGTGTTCCCATAATACAGAGGAGGAGATGAGGTTAAAAGAAACCAAGCGCCTTGCCCGTGCCTTGCCCACGCCTCGCAGCCAGGAAGCAGCGCACAGGCCTGTTCTCTCCAGAGGCTGTGCACGGGACCACTTCTGTAGGGGACACCTGATGCTGTCACCATGCTGGGGAAAGAGATCTCAGGGCCTTCCCTGGAGGGAGCGCTGTTTGGTAGAGGAGAAGGGCCAGAGCCACGGACGAGGCAGGACGGCTCTAGTCACTGCTGAGCAAGGAGGAGTCGCCACACTCGGTGGGACAATCAGGAGGCACTGCCTCGGGGTTGCTAAGCAACCCTTCCCCTTTGACCAGAAGTACTAGCAAAGGATGTGGACCAGGCAGCAGAGGGCCAGGGGCCGGTGTCCATGAGGCAAGGTCCTGAGGGCGTGGTGCAGTGGGGGCCCCCAGAGAGGGAGGGAGGAGGGAGGTCTTCGGGGATCTGCCACAAAGATGGCTTGTCCTCACTTATTCCCTGGGGTCCCTCCCAGCTGGAGCTGGCCACAGCCAAGAGTGACATGAACCGGCACCTGCACGAGTACATGGAGATGTGCAGCATGAAGCGGGGCCTGGACGTGCAGATGGAGACCTGCCGCCGGCTCATCAAAGGCTCTGCAGACAGGTGCGGACCTGGCCTCCCGGGGAGTCAGCGGCGGGTCCTCAGGGGGGCTCCTGGGCTGCCCCTCACAACCTGCCTAAGTGTCATCTCCCCACCGTCGGTCTGTCCACCCACCCACCCACCCACGCAACCACCGTGCACCCTGTGAACATGAGCCCACCGACTGTGTGCTGGGTGGCTTACCCAGCACACCTCATGGAACTCCCACAGCAACCCTGTCCCCATGATTCAGCGGGTACTTGCCAAAGGCCTGCTGGGTGCGAGGCCTCGGGGATCCAGAAATGAGCAGTCGGGGCCTCAGCGCTCAGGGGGCCGTGGGGAGGTGGGCAGGGCCCTCCCCCCCTGCGGGGGCTCGGGCTCCCATTGGTCTGTCGGAAGTGAATTCCCTTCTTCCTTTCCCGTCTCCTGACCCAGGGCCCAGATGGGTCTGCCCCAGGAGACTGACATGCATCAGGCCTTGCCCACAAAGAGCGAGCCCGGGCCTTCAGGACACACAGCTTTGTTGGGGGAAAGACACGCTGATAATAGAGTCACACGTGGAGAATGCTTGGCCTAGAGCACAGATATGTGCGGCTCGCAATCCTGGCTCTTGTGATGGCTGTCACTAGAGAGCAGCTCTGTGGGGAGCAGTGTGTGCTTAGCCTGTCCTCTCTTCAACTCGTGGAATCCCCAGAACACACTGCGATTACAGCTTGCCCCTGTCCCCAGCCAAGTGTGATGGAGCCCGAATCGCAGTACAGCGTGGTTGACCTCCGGCTGGGGTAGCCTCCTGACTTGAGGTTTAGTGAGCACCTACTATGTGCCTGGACCTGGATGGGATGATTGCAGGATAGGAACCAAGCTTGATCCATGGCCCCTGCTCCTGAGGAGCTCTCTGCCTGGTGAAAGTAGAGGCCGGGGCACGGGAACTCGAGAGGTCTCCAGAGTCAAGTTCAACTCATGAGCTTGAAGGTTCCTAAACAAACAGAGCAAGGGCAGGGTTTAGGGCAGGAGCCCTCTGAGAGCAGATGGTGGCTGCTCGGCTTTCCTGTCCCTTGATCCCCTCAGGAGCCCCCCCATGCTGACTGTCCCCCGTTTCCCCATGTTTCCCAGGAATTCGCCGTCCCCCAGCTCTGTGGCCAGCAGCGACTCAGGAAGTACAGACGAAATCCAAGATGAGCTGGAGCAGGAGGGGGACGTGGAGCCGATGGTCAGCTGATGACGGAGCCCCAGGCACCTGGTGGTCTTGGTGATGGGCCTGCGCCCCTCCTCTCCAGGGGGCCAGGAAGGTTCCTCCCAGGGGCTCCAGTCCTCCCCACACAGACTTCCTCTGCCTGCCCTTCTCTGGAGGCCCCAAGGGACCGCTGCTTCCTTCCACCGCCCCCACGACCAGTGCCCCTCTCCATCCACCCCCCACCCAAGGAATGGTGCTGTCAATTTCTATTGTTCTCCACGTTACAAATGCAGACTTCTGTCGGAGGATGCAGTGTGAACTGTGCCTTCTCCCTTAAGCTGAGCCACTTTGAGCTCCAAAGATTTATTCCTGGCAGGTGTTTTTATACAAAACTCTAAGGTGAGGGCGGGGCCCGGCCTGCATCGCGCGGTTTCTACCCTCCCACCTGCTGCTCTGATTGGCCATGAGCTTTGGCTCCCTTTCCCCGTTGCTGACACCCGGGAGGGCTCTCCCTTCCCTGGGAAGGAGCTCTTGCCTCTGGGCCTGGCGGGGACCTCCTGGGCCCTCACTTACTGAAAGAGAAAGGTGGAAGGAAGGGAGGGAAGACCAATTTTTACTTTCTGTCTTGGATCTAGTGGCAAAGTAGAGGGACAAGGCACTGTGGGGGGCGGGGGGTGGAGCCTCACTGTGTTTAAACTACTATGCAAAAAAAACAAAACAAAAAGCAGCTTGCCTTATATCTTCCTGGATGGCAGGCCCTCTCCCGGCTCCTGGCTCTCCCCCGGAGCTGGGAGGGAGGCTGAGGTTGGAGCCATCTCCCTCGAAGCCTCCGAGGGTGCGCCTCCGTAGGTCCAGGTTGGGAGCGAGGCCTGCGTTCCTGCCAGGCCCGCCCCACCTGACCACTTGCTTTCTTGGGGACCTCTGTGGAGTTGGGATGGGCTTGGGGCGCTTTTATTGTCCTGATGACTTGATGTTCTCCTCTCCCTCTCCAGCCAATAATAAGGATTTATAGAGCTGTAATTTCTCTGTGAGAAAGTCTGAAGGGGCCATGCCTGGTACCTCTTCCGTCCATGGTAGGGCTCCCATTGGTGCCCGCCTGCCGCCATCTTGGTTCTCCACTGTCCTGTGGTCACCTGGTATTAGGCCACTGGCAGGAAAGAGGCATTGGAAAGGGAAGCGGAGGGAGGTGGCAGGGGCTGCTGGTGGGTTAGTGTCTGGAGGTGGCTTGAGGAGAACCCCAGTGGGGGCCGTCCTTGTTCTGCGCATGGACACGTGAGCCTTTTTCCGTCATTCACTTTACCCACCAGCTGGGGAGTTCATCTGAGCCAGTATCTCCCCACGGTTTGAGGGGGCCTGAGTTGGAGGGCCCTTTGTTGAGACCACCCACCAAATCTCAGCTGGGAATCAGTCTAGCAGGCTTCCTCCCCACAGCTGTGTGTCCACTCCAGTGGGTGGGTGCCCATTTTTGTTTTTTGTTGGCCCAGGAGCTCCCTCTGGAGGTCAAAGAAACGAAAACGTGCCCCCTCGTGGGCTGAGGAGCACTCTGGCTGGAGAGGGTTGGTGGTTCCCTGACTCCCCTCTGCAGGGTGCCACTGGCCGTTCAGGGCCTTCTCTCGTCCATTGTCCCCACGTTTTGCTGTCTTAAAACCCTTGTACATTGCATTCATCAATATGTGGAGAGAGAGAGAGAGAGAGAGTCATTGCCTGTGATATAATTTATCAGAATCTGGTGGTGTTTCTCCTGAGCTTTTCCCTTTGTTTTATTTGGGGGGCGCATCCTGCTAGCCCCCGGGGCAGTCTGGCGGCACGGCTTCTGACCTCCTCATCTCTCGATGGCCAGACAGCTCCTTTGGCAGGTACTTGGAGGGATCAAGGTTTTGGAAGAGAGACAGCCCCTTCCCCCCTCCTCACTGGCCCTTGTTGTAAAGGTTACAGGGTTCACACATATCTGATTATTATTATTATTGTTGTTGTTTTATTTTGATTTTAACCAAAGGTTATCGGAGCGGGTTGGGCTTAGACCTTAGCTGCTGAAGAGATTTCCCATTTCCATGGGGGCAGGAAGATGGCCGCCCCCGTGGGTGTCCCCAGCCTGGGGCTGAGGGAGGCGTCCAGGGCTGTGGGGCAGGCTGGGTGAGAGCCAGCCCTGGGCTGTTCCTCCAGGTGGTGGGAGGGTCACAGACCTATCTGTAGTTAGGACAGTTGGGCAGCAGTGTAAGTGTTTGGGGGACAGAGGTCACGGTGGTGGTGGTGTCCTGTGGTATTAGTTTGCTTCCCCCTTGTCCACATAGGCCATTTGTCTTCAGGGTGCTCCGATTTGTCCAGGGAGTGTGAGAATGGCTGGTGCCAGAGAGGGTCCCTGGCCTGAGCGTCCCTTCCTGCTGGCTCCCACCACCTGCTCTCCTCTGGGGAGCTGAGGCTTTGGGGCAGTGGGGAGGAGAGCAGACCAGGGTGTGGCCAGCTGCCTCCTGGGCAGGGCCCTGGGTCTGGCCTGGTCACTGTCCACTCCACTCAGTTCTTTAGGTTGGTTGCCAGTGGGCCCTGCTTGACCCCTCGCCACGAGCCCACAGCTTGCCAAGAAAGACCCCACCGCTCACTGGGGCAGCACGTGGCCCAGTTGGGGCCAGCTGGTCCGTCCTTTGTAGAGCTGTAAATACTTCATTTTTTTGGTTTTCTATTTGGAAGCCCGGTGTCATATTGACACTGGTATCTTAGACTCCTTCTCAGATGGCCTCTCCTGGCTGCCCTCTCTCACTCTCACTCTCCTAGGTTTGGGGGTTTATAATACACAGGATGGGGGAGCAGCAGAGAAGGTAGCATTCTTTTGACTCCCTGGTTGATTGTGAAACACACACACACACACACACACTCCTCTGAGATTCTGAACGGTGAAAAAAATGATTGGCCAGCAAACACATTTTGCTTTCTCATGGCAATATGACTGGAGGCTCCAGAGGACCAGTCCGCCCTGGACTCCGCCCTGGAGCTCAGATGACGGGGAGAGTCCAACTACTGTGGCTTGGGGTGGGAGGAAAGGGGGTGGGGCAGGGGGTAATATAAAGGTGTAACTTAAGCTAAATGTAATCTATTTATAAAGCAAGAGACTCATCTATTTTTATGAAAGGAAAGGTTTTTTTAAATCTACGGTAGGCAGTTGAGGTAGCCCAGCATTTTTCTGTGGACAAGATATTGTGCATGTCGCTGCTGGATTTCATGTAATCAGTACCCCCGGCCCCTGACGTGCCTTCCTGACCTCATCCACACCCAAGAGCGCATTCAGCAGAGACGAGCCCACTCCACCCTGTTTCCTTCTCCCCTGATCCCTCTACTCTTTGGAAGTCTTGGTGGGGGGAGGCACTTTCAGAGATAGGTGGGCGGCAGGGATTTCCAAATTGAGGGGAGTGGTTGGAAAAGGGGGCATTTGGTAGGGGACAAGCTCTGCTTCAGTCAGCTCTGATTAGGTACCCCAGCTCCGATCTGCCAGTCGGCTGTGTTGGGAGAGGGCTGGGAAGCAGCAGGCTGTGGGTGGTGATGGGGCCGAGGGCTCGGGAGCACAAGACCTCCTTTGGACCTGGGTCTTCGTGGGTCCCAGATGTCAGGCAGCCGGGGCAGGTCTGGAAATTCCCTAAGACACCCAGAGAGCAGCCCTGGCTGTGCCTACTCGGGCCCAAGGCTGCAGTCCTTGTGCTCCTGCAGGGTTCTGGACGAAGGACCCAGTATACTGCGGGTTTCCTTAGACCTGGTCCTCCTCCTGGGACAATGAGCTTGGCTCTAGATGGCCACTTTCCTAGAGTGGAACATCTGATCTGCCGGTGGGTAAGGGGAAAGTTGGATTCTCTCTGGGAGGGAGTTTTCTTTCATGGAAGACTTCCTGGCACAGGATGGGTGCACTGCTCACCGTCTCCCTCCTTCCCAAGCTCTCAAAGACATGAAGCAAAGCTCCCTACCAAGACCCCTTTGTGGACATTTTAGCATCTACCTGGTTTTTAGTCCCGTCCTATCCCACTGTTGCTGTTCGTCTGCCAGCTGGGTCTGACATCACTGGGGAGGGGGGTTTGTACTCACTGAAAGACTACTGATCCTACCGGGAAACCAACCTGTTTACTGTACTATTGTAAATATCATGCCCTTTATATCCTGTATATTGGCTTCTTTTAAATAAAGTGAAATGTCTTAGATTTGACTGTGCATTTATTTATTTTTAAAAATTGAGGATGCAAGTGATGATGGTGGATGGGGGGCTGGAAGACAAAGGGCCACATAAACACTAAAGCAAACTTGTTAGCCAACCCCCGATAAAATGGGGGAAATTTCACTTCACCCGTTAACAGGCACCTCACAATACGATCTTTGGTAGAAGAGGAGGGAGGAATTATGACATGTTTTACAGAAGGGGAACGGAGAGCCAGAGAGATGGCGCGGCTGTCTGCAATGGAAGTCCTGCTGACCATAAAGCTCCCCTTTCTCAAATCTTTCCAATGTGCCCACAGAAGCCTCCTTGCTGGGACTGTGGATTGAATACTGCCTCATGTTCTAGTGTATTCTTGTTAATGGCCACATTCAGGGTGACACTATTCCAACACCTGACAGGGCCTTCTCCAAGGAAGAAGAGGGAAAAAAAAAACACCATCAGTTAATTCCAAATTCTCTCCCCCCCCCCATCTCTAAGCCATGACAGTAGTTTCCCTTCCTTTTTGAATATTTAAATGACCCGATGTGTCTTAAATGGTGTAATCTGGCGGAAAAGGAGTGATGGGGGCAGTCTGAGGTGCATGTTAACACCTCCATTTTACAGAAGAGGAAACCGAGACTCAGAGGGGCTAATGTAATTTTCCCAGTGTCATATCAAGGAATCAGAATTGGCATCGGAAGGGACTCCTAAGCAGGTTCTCGGTTTACAATGCTGCAGGAAATATAAACAGAGGATGAGAAAAGCCTTTAGAGATGGAGTAGGTTCCCACTCTCAGAAGACTTGAGCGTCCGAGTTTTAAATATGTTCGAGGGCTGAACATCAAACAACCTCAAACCCAGAAAACTGAAATTTTCATGGGGTGGGGGTGGGGCGTAGGAACAACTGGTTTTGCTGCCAGCGGCTAAGCACAGACCCGCTAGGTTTTATCTCCAGTCGATCACTAACTGCAAGGAAGCAGGGACTGGGTAACCAGCTGGCCCCGCGCCAGGCCGGGAGGAGGCGGCGGCTGGGCCCGCAGCCAGGAGGCTGGAGGGAGGAGGTTCGTCCCAGGGCCTGCAGTCCGGGTAGCGGAGGGGAGCTGCCTGCGGTGTGGCCCTACGGGGTCGATGAGCCTGGCAGCGGGTTGCAGCCCTCCACCCGCCAAGGACGTCGTAGGAGAGGCTAGCAGACCCTGAGGCACCTGTTGTGCGGGTCTGAGGGCGGGGCGCAGCAGGTCCGTCGGCCCTCAGCACGTGCCCCAACCCCGCTCTCTCATTGGCTCCCGCTGCCCCTCTCTCCCAGGCCCAAGAAGGCTGAGACGGGACCGCCCTGCTGATTGGCCCGGGGGCTTCCAAGTGTTGTTCTGATTGGTCGCTGCAGCTCACGCCCTCTCCGCCCACTGGGCCATACCATATAAAGAGGAGGAGCAAACCTCTATGTTTCAGGACTTCTCTTTCAGATTCCCCGTCCCGCGTTACAGCATGGCCTCGATCTTGCAGCACAGACAGATTTTATTAGCGGAAGGTAGATCCACCTGGTGGGAACCCGAGCTCGGGCGGAGGACGGTCGGCGCGGGAGGGGCGCCCCCTCCCGCCGAGCTGGTGCGCTCCGGGCGGGGCCGCGCAGTCAGGCCGCCAGGGTTGCCCGTCCCGCGACCAGTCCGCCGCCAGCCGAGATGCTGTCACCGCTGTCTGCACTCCGTCGCGCCCTGCTGGCCCGCCCCTGGAGGGCGGCCGGGTGAGTGAGCACCCGTCCCGGCCGGTCCGGCACGGCGCCTGCTGCCCGGGGTCCCCAGGGTCGCTGGGCGGCTCCTCCGCGCTGGACGCCCACCTTGTGGGACCCTCCAAGTACCCAGCGGGGTACCCAGGGCTGCTTTCTGCCCGAGCTCGCCCCCTCCCGCACCCAGTCCTTCTCCCCACAGGATCCCTCAGTCCCCTCCCCGTCGCTCTCAGTGGTCACCTTCCTTTAGCTAAGGGATCCCCTTCCCGACGCCTGCACCCTGTGGGGGTGCTCGGGGCTGGCGTCCCAGGCTCAGAGAGTGGCCTCCTTCACTCACCCTCCTCCACGTGCTAGATATTCAAATTTTCTGGCTTCCCAGCGGGGACCACTTCTATTTTTAGCACACCACGCCCCTCTCCTCCCCACCCTAATCTCACATTCCGGACCCCCTCTGGCCTTCCGGGAGTCCTCTCCACCGGGATTTCCACCTCTCCCTCTCTCTTCCTCTTACTTTTTGAAGATAATTGTTAGAAAAGACGGACTCCTTTTCCCTGGTAGGTGGAATGATACTTATGCAGCGCTAGGCATTTGGCGTGTGTCCTACTGTTAGGATTAAACAATTTAATACACGTAAAGTGCCCTGAACAGTGCGGGGCGCGGTCGTCATTATCACTTTTATTTAAACTTCTCACTACCTTGAGGCATAGGCATTATTATTCCGGAAAATGAAGAAACAGAGGAGCCGCCGTTCCAGGGTGGAGTGGCCTCTAAATCCAGATTTGCAAACCTGGGCACTAAGGAGCTGGGTTCCTGGACCATAGGTGCTCAGTGACAAATGGTCTAAGAACCCCTCCTGCCCTGAGCTGGGGGTCGCAGGAAGCTGGAACATCCACTGCCCCAGAGGGGCTCATAGGATTCTGGTGGGGCTGAGGTATGAACTGTGTCCCCTCTGCCTCCCACTTGAGTTTGGTTTGCCTGGCCCCTAGGGCAGTAGCTGGCCATGCCCCCCCTGGCTAAGTTCAGCACTCTCTGAGTTAATCAGTGTCTCTCTCCCTGCCCCCATGGCATAAGTTAGTTTTAACTTCTCTGTGTGTTCTCGCAGGGAGGGGATAGGGAAGGACACAGAAGAGGACATGGGACACAGAGGCTTCTCTTCCAAACTAAGATGGGCCAGCCCCACTTGCCAGAGCCTGGACATGGTCCCATCTGCAGCCTCTCTGTACATTCTGAGACCACCCCTCTCAGAACCCAAATGGAAGCCCCAGATAGGTAGGGCCATGCAACAGATTCATGTGCTGAGTCCTGGGTGGATGCTCAGCATACTGCAGGCAGAGATAGCGGCATTTATGGTGAGTGGGTCTGACAGGGGTTTTCAGCTCAATGAGGGGGAGAGGTGTAGACATAAAGCCCTCTAGTGGAAACCAGTCTGCATTCAAAAGAAAAGCCCATAGTACTATTTGCCAAGCTGTCAAGTCCCGCAGGCCCAGCGCTGCGCTCTCCCCCGTCTTACAAATGGGGAGCCGTGTGCCAGTGAGGCAGATGTAGGACCAGAGTCACAGTTGACCTTACTTCACGTTCATGCACTTAATTACGAGGCCCCTGGAAGTGAGAGGAGAGAGAATATTTTGCAACAGGTTACACAGGCTCAGGCCTCTTCTCTGCCCCACAGCTGTCCTGGCTGGATGCCCGAGAGGGTTTCTCAACCCTGCACCATGAACACTGGAGCCAGGTAATGTCATGGGGACTGCTCTGAGCCCATGGGGTGCCAGGAGCACCCCTAGTCATGACAATGTCTCCAGATGTTGCAATTTATCACCTGGGGAGCAGAATGGCCCTGGGTTGCCTAGCTCAATGCAGCTTTGGTGTTTGATCATTTGTTCATTTATTTGACACATACACAGGAGACACCTGTGGTGCGCCGTGTCTGCCTTGATAGAGAAACAATTCTAGGACATTTTTAGTGATAGCTCTCAGTGTCCTAGAAGTTAGACTCTAGTACTAAGAAAATCTGCATTTTGGGGGCTGAGGCTGTAGCTCAATGGGAAAGTGCTTGCCTCGAATGGGTGAGGCACTGGGTTCAATCCTCCGCACCACATAAATATAAATAAAAGTCCTATGTGTTCATCTACAACTAAATAAACACTAAAAAGAAGAATAATAAGAAGAAAATCTGCTTTTGAGGAATCAGTAGTGTTTCCCTTGCTGACTTGAATACTGGGAATTTCAGCATTTTTTTTTGACACTTGTTAGTTTTCTTTTTTTATTCAGTTAGTATGTGTGTATTATAAAAAGTACAAATAGTGCAAAAAAAAGAATACAAAAATTGCATGTACCTCCACACATGGAATTAAATATTGTCATCATCTTAGTGACAGTCCTTTTTTACTTTCCATGAATGCATACAGTAAAAACCATAAAAGTGGACTCATGTGCGAGGACAGGTCGATCAACCCAAATCTGAAAATGAGAAATGTCCCCAAATCTGACTCTCTGCGCTCTGATGTGACGCCATAAGAGGAAAATTCCACACCTGACCTCGTGAGACAGGCCATAGTCAAAATGCAGGGGCACTAAAAACATTGTATAAAGTCACCTTCTGGCTGTGTGTATAAAGTGTATGCGAAACTAAATGAATTTTGTATTTAGACTTGGATCCCAGGCCCCAAGATATCTCATAAGTATATGCAAATATTAAAAAATCTGAAAACATCTGAAATTTCTGGTCCCAAGCATTTTAGGTAAGGGAATCTTCAGCCTGTATCTTTTTTTTTTTTCCTTGAATGCTGGGGATTGGACTCGGGGCCTGGTGCGTGAAGCGCTGTACCACCAGGTCACATCCCCACCTATACATTTCGTAGCTTCTTTTCCTTTTTCCCTCGGCACAGACTTGTCCTCTCTACTGTATGTCCCTGGGACTCCAGAGCTGGGTCTGGCACCTGCTAAGCCCTGGACAGACTGGGTGAATCCGTTCGTCAGGGAGCCCCTTTGTCCACATTTATTACAGCCAGTTTTGAGGCATCACTGTGAACATGTGGCCTTTGAGGATGGACCCAGGGATGTGGCTGGTGACAGTAGCTAGCATGTGCCTTTCATGAGGATGATTTTACTCAGCTCCTGGCAGCTTACAATGTAGCGGTTACAGGTTTCACAGATGGAGCGAGGGAGGCTGAGGGGAATGCAGGAAAGCTTGCCCAAGGCCTCAAGGTGGCTGGCACCAGGCCTCCCTTGCTGGCCTCCGTTCTCTGTGGACCCTGACTTCTGCCCTTTTCTCACTGGTGTCAGTAAATA